TGACGCTTATAGACATATGATGCTTATAGTCACACATTTTTATGAAATTTTTTGTGTGACTATAAGCGGACTCCACTGTACATACAATATTTATACCTCCAAAAGTAAATAAAAATTACCACTACAGGATGTTACAAAGCATCTTGGGCGCGGTTGAAGGGGGAGGGCGGGTGGAATTCTTGCTTTTTCTGGACCCTGGAGGCAAAACCCTATCTAATGCCTTTTGTCCCATGTCTCTAGCCCTTCTAGAAGTACCTGTACTTTTTGGTACCTGAGAAGTAGCTATGTATATATAATGTAAAATATGATGGTTTCTGATGAGTTATATGAAATATGAATAAAATATAGAATTATAAAGGAAAATTCAAGGTACTGTGTAGCCTGGTGGGTAGCGTGATAGTCTCATAACCAGAAGGTTATTAGATCGATGCTTGCCTGGATATTGCCGTATTTTTTTTTTTTTTGGATTATTTTAATTTTTTTTTTTTTGTTTAAATTTTTTGTTTTATTTTTTTTAATATATAACAGATAATTTTATTATAAAGTTTAAAGAAAATTTCCAAAAAAATATTGTTATAATAGTTTGGAAAAATTCCCAAAAATTTTAAGTACATAAATATGTATGTATTTATATTTTTTTAAAGCTTCCTGAGTAATTTTTTTAATATGAATTGAATGATATTCAAAACTGTGGTTTGCTATATAGAAATAAATTTCAAACGCATAATTATTAAATCATGGGAGTAAACATACAAAAATTAATTTCTCATATCAAGAAAAGGTTTAGTCAAAAGCAAAAAAATAATTTTATTCACATATACATATGTATGGATATATGAATGTTTTAGAATTGAAGATTTTAAAATTTTTCGTTCCAACATATGAACGTATGTACATATGAATGTATTAAAATTGAAAATTTTGAAATTTTCTGTTGGAACAATTAGAAATAAAAACAAACATACATAATTATGAATCGACACCTGTTTTTTTAAAACTATGATTTTTTACTTTTTCTATGATTTATTTTTATTAATTTATTCATTTATGATATTTTTATTATAATTTTGATTTTTTAATGTTTATTTTAAAATTCAACTCAATTTTTTTTTTTATTTATTTTTTATTTTATTTATTTATTATTTAATTTCAGACAATTCATATAAAATTGTGTATAAGAAATTAAAACTAAAATTAATCTTACAAACTAATTTTTTTTTATAAAAAATCCAAATTGGTTTTTTATTTTCTAAAATTTTTTATATATCTTCTTAATTTAGTTTTGAATTCATTTACTCCTTTACAATTCTTGATATCATCCGGTAATGTATTAAATATCCTTATTGCACTGCATTTTAGGCCTTTCAACTTCATCGATGTACATGCTTTCGGTACCTTGAGATGCCTTCTCTGCCTAGTATTATAATTATGTACCGTATCTCTTGTTGGAATCAATAACGATGTTTTCATTTTTTTGTTTGTTATTTTGAAAACATATTTGCACTTCTCGAAATATATAAGCTGGTTTATATCTAATTCATTTGTTTTTATGTATAGTTCCTTAGTGGCCATTCTTGGATTCAAATTATATAATGTTTTTAAACTTCTGTTCATGACTATACCCATTTGGTTAATATGAAATTTAGTACAAATACTCCAGTTGCATATATTGTAACGAATTTTAGATAATATGTGCCCGCTGTATATTAATTTCGCTGCTTTAGCTGGAACACCACCTGCTCTTTTAATTGCCATAGTGATTGGAATAATACTTTTTTTTAACTGCTTAATATGTTTATCCCATTTTAAATATTCATCTATATAGATGCCCAGATATTTTACATGTTCCGTTCTTTGTATCACATCATTCCCGGCTTTTATAATAATTTCATGATATTTTTTTTTTGGTTTTTTAAATACCACATCGTTTTTTTAGCATTCATGCAAAGGCCATTGCCGCTGAGCCAATCCATATAGACCGTGATATCTTTATTTACTATATTTTCTAATTCACTCAAGGTTTTTGCTTTTGCTATAAGGTTTGTGTCGTCAGCATATATTGTGTACTTTGATTCCATGTTACAATTAGAAAGATTCATAACATATAATAAATACAGAAGTGGTCCCAATAGAGATCCTTGTGGTACACCCGTGTTTATACGTAATTCAGCGCTTTTCGTGTTTCTGATTCGCACACTATGCATTCTATTCGATAAGTAACTTCTGAATAAACTATTTGCTGTGCCTCTAATTCCCAAATCTTCAAGAAATTCTAGAAGTCGGCTATGATTAACCACATCAAATGCTTTACTTAAATCGATAAAAACACCCGCAACGTAATATCCTTCATCTAAAGCGTCATATACATGATCTAGTGTTACTGAAACAGCAGAGTCAGTACCACTTCCTTCTATGAAGCCATATTGATTTTTGTCAAAGCCGATTGTTGATTCAACAAAGCTACGGATTCGTTTATTAATAGCCTTTTCATATATCTTACTTATAGAATTTAGTATAGATATTGGCCTATAATTACCACAGTCCGTTTTTTTTCCACCTTTATGAATGGGTACAATTACAGCCTTTTTCAAGCATTCAGGATAAATTCCGTTAGTGAGGCATAAATTTATCATATCACATAACGGTTTTTTAATAATATGTATTAATTGCTGAATGTCGCTAACTGTTATTCCATCAGATCCTGGTGCAGCATGCCCATTCAGATTTGAAGTAATCTCAACAATTTCATATTCGGTTACCGGTACTAAAAATACAGATCTTTGATTTATTGAATTTCGAACTGTATTCGGCATATTATTAGTGCTGATATTATTTAAAATTTTTTCCCCAATTTCATTAAAATATTTATTTAATAAGTTGGCGGTTTCTGTATCTGAATTAGTTGATTCACCATTTGGTTTGAGTAAATTACAAATACTGTCGCTAATTTCATCATCATTATTTTTAATTGTATAATTTATTACGCTCCACAGTTTTCGGCTGTCATTTCCAGCTTTTTCTACACTATTGTTGATATGTTTATTCTTAGCCTCCAGAATAAGTTTACTCACTTTCTTTTTCATTTTCAGGTAATTATTCTTTTTTATTGTGTTACTAGGTTCCTTTTTATGTGCTTCATATAAGGAGCGCCTAATCTTTAATTGTTTAATAATTGTATGAGTAATCCACGTGTTACTTCTTGACCTTACAGTTTTTGTTGTTGTACAATTTTCTTTTGCCTTCTGAAGTATATGAATTAATTCATCTACTTCAGTAATATTTATCTTTGCTAGCTCATTAGTGACTATTTCACACATTTTAACATAATCTGTTCTAGTATGTGCGAGTTTGGTGTATGGTTTTATCACATGTTTTGTTAACTCAATACCAACAATAGCAGTTTTATGATCAGATATGTCGTTCTCTTCAATTTTATACGTAATTTTGTGCTCGTCATCAATATTTGATACAATATGATCAATTAATGTGCTAGTAGCCGCTGTTTGCTTTGTACTGTGCATTTTGTTTATAAAATTATACCCAGAGATGTTTATCATGTCCATGTATTTGATTACTAAGTTGTTTTTCTCCAGAAGATTTATATTTACATCCGCAAAGAAAATACATTGTGATAGGTGATCTATTTTTGTTTCCAAATGTTCAATAAATAGTGTACTATTTTCACAAGGTGCTTTGTAGAAGGTACCAATCTTAACTTTAGGCTGAGTGTTTAAGATTTCAATGACAGTAAAATTATATTTTTCATTTTTTTCAATTTCATTGAAGTTTAATTTGTTATTCACAAAAATCGCTGTACCACCACCTCTCCTTTCATTTCTGCAGTTATAAATAGCTTTAAAGTTTTGAATGTTATACGTGTCGACTTCATTTTCGAAAATCCAAACTTCCGTGAGAATAACTACATCCACATTTTCATAACTGTGTATTAACGCTTCAAGCTCCAGAATCTTATGTCTAATGCTGCATATGTTTAAGTATAGCATGTTTAAATTACCTATTTGATTTAAATTATTGTTTGTCATCATTGTGGTATACTTAACATACAATTTTGCCAATTCACTCGTACTTTCTGGAGGTATTCTCTGTATTTATTGTCGATATGGCGTCTATACATCTTAAGATCTTGTATGACTTTTTCCCTTTTTACTCCTATTGTTTCATGATATTTGAAGTATATATTACACAACTCTTGAGGATCCGTTGGTAATCCCTCTTGATCGATAAGCACTTTGATGCTTGTTTGTGTCGTGCCATCATAGCAGATATCATCTTGATCATAGAAGTACGCAAGAAAAATTCTTACATTGTTGTATATTCTATGATCTCTAAGCCGAGATAATACAAAAATTTTATCATCACTTTCAATTGCTTTTTTTGTAAGTTTTACAATTGGTGGAGCCATTGGATCTAAAAAGGAATCATCTATTTTGCTATTTTGTTTCAGCTTATCACCGTCTACTTGTGGATTTAATACTTCTCCTTTAACCCAGTTATTGTAATTGCTATTTTTCCTGTTGCCATTAACACTATCGTTATCATGATTATTATAATTGCTATTTTTCTCATTGTCATTAACACTATCATTATTATGATTGTTATGATTATTATTATTATTATTATCATTATTATTATTATTATTATTATTGTTATTATTATTATTATTATTATTATTATTATTATTATTATTATTATTATTATTATTATTATTATTATTATTATTATTATTATTATTATTATTAATGTTATTATTATTACTACCATTATTATTGTCACTAATCGTCTCAGCACTATTAGATATTTTATATGTGCTAATTTTGGTGTTCGGATTCTTTTTCAACCAAAACTTGGGAATAATCTTAAAAATTTTCCCATTATGCAACTTTTGCTTATTAACAAATTCATTATCATTGTTACTACTAATATTACTCTTAACACTGATACTATCACTATTAGTTTTAAAATTATTAATATTACCACTATTATTATTATTTTAATCATCATCATTATTATTATCATCAACATTATAATTATCGTAGCTACTATTACTATTACTACTATTATTATTTTTATTATTATTAATTTTATTATTTTTATCATTATCATTATTGTTCTTGTCAACATTAGTATTATCCTCATTACTGTTAATATCATCTGCAGAGTAGGCGTGCCTTTCACATTTCTCTAATTGCTAGTATCCTATTTTTTGTTTTAGTTCGTTTAGTTTTTTTTTATAGACCTCACACTGCTTACTTAATGAGTTATGTTTTATATCTAATCCCAGTTTAAATTTCTCGTTAGCTCTTTTGCAATTTACACATATGTCAACCGGTTTTTCGGTACATTCACTAGTTTTATGATTTTTTGTGCATTTCAAACACGTTTCCTCATTCCTACATTCTGTAGATTTATGATTGAAGCCATTGCATTTGAAACACCTTTTTACTGAGATGGCATCGAAAACCTTACATCTTTCCCAACCAATGCATAATTTTTGAATATTCAATATTTTTGGAAAAGATTCTTTATCGACTTCTATAATGGCATTCTTCATTTCCCTATTAAATTTTTTCACCGTTCGCAAATTTATGATTTTCATTTCAGCTCTTTCTAATACCTCATTTTGTTTTTTCAATTTTTCTATTAATTCACTCTCACTGAAACCGTTATTCATATGCACTATCTCTATTTTTGGTTTAATTTCCTTCGGTATGATATTATAATCAACTTGCATTTTTTTTTGTAATTCGGTTTTAATTTTTTCTCTATTTTCTTTTGAATCAGTCTCTATCAATATAATGCCATTCATTTTACTTTCCACATTTTTTATTTTTAAGTCTTTTGGATTTACCTTCGTATTAAGATCTTTTTTTGTTTTTTCACTCTTTTGTTTTTGCTTAGGTTTTACAATTAATGGCAAGTGTTTTTTCATTATCGGCACTGAATTTTTATTTTCTTTATTATTTTTCAAGATATCGGCGAATGACACTGAATGACCTACATTGTTTATTTTAGCATTACTTATATTTGTGCATAACTCATCATTTTTTTTTATCGAGTGCACAATCGTTTTATTAAGTTTTTCTGTTTGGTTATTTAGCACTACATTCAATTTTTCACTTTCCACTTTAAAATTTTCGGTCATTTTAACCATTTTTTCAATCTCTTTTTTTTGTTCATTTTTTATTTCATGTAATCGTTCCATATACCTTCGACATATATCTTCGATTGTTCTTAAAAGTCCCATTACCTCGTTTTCATTACGTTTTAACGCGTTTTCGAAATCGCACTTGTATTCCTTTAAATATTCATTGTTTTTTTGCACTGCGCAGTCCATTTTTTGCAGTACCATATCAACATTTTGTATATATAATATACATTCATCACACATAAATCTAATTTTATTATTACTTTCAATAATACCGATCTGGTACTCATCGAGACCAGCACACTTCGCTGTAGTGTGGTAGATTCTGTTACACACTCCGGCACAGCGAATACCGTTCCCGCCAGTTATTCTTCTCTTACAGGTTTCACAATCAGTCATCCTATGATTGCCTGTAACAAACCGCTTTAAACTTACGCCAACTGCGATTTTGTGCATATAATATTACGCAATTTTAATTAAATTAAATTTTTGATTAACCGTTCTTTAAAAATTCAACCGTATCGTTTGACGATCAATCATGTAAAACTGTGGGTTAACATATAGGGTTAAATTTTTTAAATAAAGAAAAGGACATATTCTGATTCAATATAAGTACGTCAGCTAATAACAATTGGTGAAACACTTAATCCATGCATTCAAACAAAACCAAGTGCTACTACAAATGATAATATAAAATCAAGCTATATCAGTCCGTTATTCACACCAATTGCAAAATTAACCCAAAAAGCGCTTGTTCAAGATGATAGCATGTATGTACTTTCGCGTCTGAGAGATCATAGAATATACAAAAATGTAAGACTTTACTTAGCATACCTATTTGATCAAAATGATGTATGTGTCGATGGTATAACTCAAGTGAAATATTAAAGTTTTAATCAACCAAGAAGGTTTACCAACAGACTTAGTAAAGCTACGAAATATCTTTGATCGATTTCACGAAAAAATTGGGATTTCTCAGAAGGAAGTTGCTAATGACTTGAAGACCTATAGAAGTCACATGATAAGTAAGTACAGAGAGCATCTGCAAAGGACAAGATTGGCTTTACATAATTATATGAAACCCCTATAGGTAAATGATAATTCAACAAAATAACATAGATTTAGATCTTAATAATAGTTACAAAATTATATGAAACCCCTATGTAAAATGATTACATAAATATATGAAACCCCTAGGTAAATGATAATTCAACAAAATAACTTAGATTTAGATCTTAATAATAGTTATAGTGGTAATTTGTGGCTTAAATTGTAGTAGTGTTTTTGAATTTTGGTCTAACACTTATTTGCTTTTTATAATACATCAAAACATAAGAAGCCTAAGACAAAACTTTGATTTGTTGGTAGTTCATTTAGAAACATTTATGAACATGTCGGACTTTATTTTTGTCTCTGAAATTTGGGTTTTTGAGAACGAGTTAGTGGAGTACAATATTCCTAATTATACATTTTTTGCTAATACTAACGAGTCGTATGCTGCTGGTGGTGTGGTTGTATTTGTAAAAAATTGTTATTTGAATGCAGATGTTACATATTATACTTTTGCATCTACTGATATTTTGAAAATTGATTATAAAATTAAGGATATTTCAAAAACTTGCTATCTAACATAAATTCCTCTAGTTTAATAATTGTTGGTGACTTTAATCTAGATTCTCTATCTAATTCTGAAAATGTTTACTATTATCTTTCAATTCTAGCTGAAAATTGTTTATTTCTTTTTATTAATGAACCGACTAGGATTAGTTCTGGGTCTTGCCTAGATCATATTCATGGTCGTTTCGATACTATTCCTTTGCAGTCGTGTGAAAAGGGAGTTTTTTATTTTGAATTTACAGATCATTGTATGACTGGATTTCTTGTTAAATCGTTAATAGTTGAAAAAAAAGAAAATACTCTTGATACTGCCATAATTTCAAAAATAAATTATAATAGACTGAACAATATGCTAATTTTTGAATTTTGGAATGATGTTTTTAGTGAACAAAATGCTAGTGCAGCATATAATAAATTCATTGAAATTTTAAGCAGTTATATTTCCCAATGTACATTTAGTTATAGTCCTCGTGCGAAAAATAAAAAGTTAAAACCGTGAATGAATGATATTTTGTTGAGAAAAGTGAAATTGAAGAACAAATTATGTATCAAATTATATAAACATCCATCTAATTCTAGGTTAAAAAATCGTTACAAAAAGTTGTGCAAATTAATAAAAAATGAAATTTCTGAATGTCGTAAAAGATTTTATCGTAATGAATTCGTTAAATGTAATGGTGATATAAAGAACGAGTGGAGACTAGTTAATAACTTACTCAATAAGAACTCGAAAAATAGTAAGAAAATAGAAATAATACAAAATTGACAGTCGATAACAGATGACTTTCTAATTGCCAATGAGTTCAATAATCATTTTTCCTCGGTTGCTATAAAGTTGTCTTCTGATTTAGGTTCTGACTTTGAATATAATATCACGGAAGTAAACAGTGTTCGTAACAGTTTCTTTTTTGATAGTTTCTCGGTACCTAAACTTCTCCAAATTATTCGGTCTTTAAAAAACTCAAATTCTGCTGGATTTGATAATATCTCCAATAAATTATTGAAGGAAATTGCATTTAATATAGTCGATGTTCTGGTGTATATTTTCAACTTTTGTGTGCTTTCAGGTTTATTTCCCCACCAGCTAAAATCTGCGGTTGTTATTCCACTGTTCATAAAAGGGGTGGAGTCAGACGTAAACAACTATAGACCTATTTCCTTGCTTCCTATGGTTTCGAAAATTTTCGAAAAGGCAATGAAAGCTAGAACGTTGATGTATTTAAATGAATTGGAATTTTTTAATTCGAAACAATTTTGCTTCAAAAAAGGCGTATCAACTGAAGATGCTTTATTAAATTTTTGTTCGCAAATAAATTCAGGTCTTGACAAAAAACCAGATTATGCAGGTCTATTTGTTGATGTTACTAAAGCTTTTGACATAGTGAATCATAAAATTCTTTTGAATAAATTATTTGCGCTAGATGCTCGTGGTTGTATATTGGATTGGTTTAAATCTTACTTAGAATGCAGGACTCAAAGAGTCAAAATTGGTAGCAAATTCAGTAGTGTTCAATATGTTAGTTTGGGAGTTCCACAGGGATCTGTTTTGAGAACAATATTATTTCTTATATATATAAATTCACTTTTTGATTTGGAATTTCAAGGTAATTTAACAGCTTTTGCTGATCTTGCTTTCAACAAAGATCTAACGTGTGCTTTCAATAAAGATCTTAGTTTATTAAGGTATTGGTTCTTCCGACATAAGCTAATTGTTAGTGATAAAACAAAGCTAATGTTTTTTAATCTTATGCAAAAGGAACTTTCTGATATTAATCTTGTTTTTCATTCTTCTGGTTACAAAAGTGTTTTCATGGATAGTGATAATAACCATAGTTTTAATATTGTACATTGTAATATTGTAATATTGTACATTGTATTAATATTGTCTGCTGTAACTCCTCATGCTTTATAGTAGAAGTAGTCAATCAATTCAAATACTTAGGTATGTTTATTGATAGTATGTTGAATTGGTCAGCGCGCACAAATGCCATTAAGTCTTATTTGCGCTCTACTTTACGTTATTTTTATCGCTTAAACAAAATTTGTTCGCAGAAAACCCTCTTGATGTTTTATTATGGCATTTTCCAATCTTAGTTACAATATGGCATAAGTTGTTGGGGTGGTACTTTTAAGAATAAAATTTATCCCCTTCTAATCTTGCAAAAATGTGTAATTAGAAAAATTTGCAATAGACATCGTTTATTTCATAGTATGAAATAAACGATGTCTAGTCGTTTATTTCATTAGTCATAGTCGTTTATTTCATTTATTTAGAAGTTTGAAATTCTTCAAGTTAGACAACTTTATTATTATAGGGTTTTAAAGGTTTTTTACATAAGAGGAGATTTTTTAAACAGTAGGACTTCAAATTGCTTTGGTTTGCGCATTTATCGGAGATTCTTAGTTAATGTTCCAGTTTTTAGAACAACAAATTACCGAAACTTTTTTGATATAACTTCTGTCCGTTTGTTTAACAGACTCCCACAACCAATACGTGCTATTAGAAATTTAAATAAGTTTGTCAAAAGTATAAAAGAATGGCTTTTATGTTTAGAGCATAGTGAAGTAGATAATTTGTTAAGTAGTCTAATTTAATATTTTTATTTTTTTTTTATTGGGTGTCAAATTTTATATCTTAAATTAAAATCTATATTTTTGGTAAATTATAAATTAAGTATGTATAAGTATATTATTTAAGTAAATGGTAGAATTGTAAATTTTTATTATATTGTACTGTTAACTAGTAATTTTGTAGTTTGACATTAATAATTGTATTAATTTAATATTTTTTCTATAGAGTACTTGTATTACTATGCAAATTTAAATTTAGTTGATTAAAAATTAATTTTTAGTATCATAATTAGGCATTTACACTATTTTTTCTTTAAATAATAATGCCGTTTTCTTCTTCTGTTAGTTTAAATAAAAATTTTTGTAATAATTCAGAGAATAAAGTACAATAAATAAATAAAATAAATAAAAGGTTTAGGCAAAAACAAAATAATAATTTTATTCAAATATGTGTATGTACACATAAATGGATTAGAATTTAGCATTTTACAGTTTTTCGCTCAAAAAATAAAAATAAAATTTTAGGTAGATACATACGTATATAAATTGTGTATGTATATTTTTTTAAAGCATGCTGACCAAACATAATATTCAAAACAATAACAAAAAATCTGATGTGATCAGCACATAACCGACCTAATTGTGTGCTGTCTAGTTAAATGAAAGTGTTACAGAACATTATAAAAATGTCTGTTAAATACTTCTTTCCAATTTTTAGGACATTAGTAAGCTTATAGTTAACATACCCAGAAAAATATAAATTTGGCTCTTAGTGGAGTTCCGGTTTGTACTACCCGAATTCCCTGAAATGTTTTGGTAACAACCAGAACTCAAATATCAAATTTCAAGAAATTCCATCAATTCGTTCCGTAGATATTTTGAAAAATGTAAAATCGGCCCGCAGATCAGTTTTTGAGCCCTGATCTTTCCAAAAAATTTACATGTTCATTGTTCTAATACGGGAATTCAAATATTAAATTTCAATGAAATCGGTTGATTATTTCTCTTTATATACACAAAAATGTGTATTTGGCCCGTAGTAAACGTCTAGTTGCTGATGCCTGATTTGTTCCAAAAGTTAGGAGTTTTCGCGGACGGACGAGCTGAGCTTATATATGAAATTTCAAGTAAATCGGTTGAATATGTTCTTCAAAATGTTCAAAAAAGTACAACAGGCCCGCTAAAAAGTACAGTTCCCGAGGCCTGATATATTCCAAAAGTTGATCAATCCGTGTCATGGTGGAAATAAACTTACATATAAAATTTTATCAAAATCGGTTCAGCAGAACTTGAGATACACCCGTGCACACACAGACCGACAGGTTGAAAAAAATAGTTTATTTACACTTCCCTACTATGGAGAAGTACGTTCCCACCGAAAACTCGATATGCAAAATTTGTTGCCATCACATAACCTACCTATTGTTTACACAATACGGTCGGTAATGAAGCATTAATATTCAGTTGCCACAAAACATGTGATGTCTTTTATAAAACCTGACATTTATTTAAGTTTATTTCGATTTTTCGAACTTAAAATATATGTGAGATCATTATATTTTCGAATATTATTTATTTCTCGTTCTCGGTTTGTGTTTCTAATAATAAAAAGTATTATTTTATTTGTTGGTTTGTGTTTCTAGTAATACAAAGTATAAAAGAAAAAGGTGCTTTTGTTATACAAAAATTTTTTTCAGAAAATCTTAAAATAGGGTTTTTTTCGGGGCTAAAAAGTTCCAATGCCTTTAACTCGTTCCTTTGATTACGTCATCCATCTGTTCTGCAGTTGCATGAAGAAATTTCCATTAAGATAAATTAGTAGTGTAATAAGCACATTCTTATTAATTCCGCAACTATAATTTTGTATTAGTAAAATTCATAATCCAATGTCAGATTTTTCTGGGACCCTGGAGGCAAAACCCTATCCAATGCCTTTTGTCCTGAGATATTTTAAGTTTACTTTATTTTTTCAAAAACAAACCCGTAATATACATATAGATATGTTCTTTCCTAATAAATAATAAGATAAAACTTAAAATAAGAAAAGTTCTAAAAATAATTACCAAAAAATACATAATTAAACAAATAATTAGTTCCTTTGAGATCTCATTTAGAACCTCGCTTTGAGTGTTATCGCATAAAATCGTAAAATACCTTTTACAATAAGCACTTTAAGCGATAAATGACTGTATAAGCATAAAATAATGCGTTACTAAAATGCATGTACGTATGTATTTGGAGTTTATAATACATGCGAATAAAACGCGTGACTGTAGAATGAGTTAACACCAATACTAACGTGTATAGGACAATGCGTATAGCATACGATTTCTACGCAAAAAGTCCGAGGTTCGAACCCTAAAAAATGCGATTTGCCAAATGAACTTTTTTTATTGATAATTTTATTTTTTTTTAAATGAAATTAAAAAAACTTCACCCTTACCAATCAATATTATCGAATTTCCGTTCCAAATATTTTTCTGTAAATACCCTACTTGTAAAAAGTTTAATGTAATAGAATAACATTTTCTTATAAAATTTTACCCTAAAAATATACTGTCAAGAAGTTTAATGTACACTTTACAATTTTCTTAAGAAAGTGATCACTTTTTGTTATAACTCACACTTCCAAATATAAATTCACAAACAATATTTATAGTAAGAAGTAAAAAAGTAAATAAAAATTGCCCCTACAGGATGTAGTACCATTTTGTAAGAAACGGTAACAAATCATCTTGGGAGGGGGTGAAGCGAGAGGACGGGTGGAATTCTTGCTTTTTCTGAGAACCTGGAGGCAAAACCCTATCTAATGCCTTGTGTCCCATGTCTCTAGCCCTTCTAGAAGTACCCGTACTTTTTGCCACCTGAGAGGTAGCTGTATATATATAATGTAAAATAGGATGGTTTTTGAAGAGTTATACGAAATATGAATAAAATATAGAATTATAAAGGGAAATTCGAGGTACTGCGTAGCCTATTGGTTAGCGTGTTTTATTTCTCATAGCCAGGAGGTTATTGGATACTCGCCTGGATGTTGCCGTATATTTCTTTTTTTGGATTATTTTAAAAATTTGTTTTTTTTTGTTCTGTTTAAATTTTGTGTTTTATTTTTTTTAATATATAAATATAACCGATAAATGTTATTATAAAAGTTTAAAGAAAATTTCCAAAAAAATATTCTTATAATAGTATGGAAAAATTCGCAAAAATTTTAAGTACATAAATATGTATGTATGTATATTTACCGACCGTATTGTTTAAACAATAGGTAGGTTATGTGATGGCAACAAATTTTGCATATCGAGTTTTCGGTGGAAACGTACTTCTCCATAGTAGGGAAGTGTAAATAAACTATTTTTAGCAACCTGTCGGTCTGTTGGTCTGTGTGTGCACGCGTGTATCTCAAGTTCGGCTGAACCGATTTTGATGAAATTTTATATGTAAGTTTATTTTCACCATGGCACGGATTGATCAACTTTTGGTATAAATCAGGCCTCGGGAACTGCACTTTTTAGCGGGCCTGTTTTACATTTTTGAACATTTTGAAGAAAATATTCAACCGATTTACTTGAAATTTTATATATAAGCTCAGATCGTCCGTCCGCGAAAATTCCTATGTTTTGGAAGAAATCAGGTATCGGCAACGAGACGTTTACTACGGGCCAAACACACAATTTTTTGTATATTTTCGTTGAAATCTAATATATGAATTCATCATATTAAAGCAATGAACATATAAATTTTTTGGAAAGATCAGGGCTCAAAAACTGATTTGCGGGCCTATTTTACATTTTTCCCCATTTTGAAGAAAATATTCAACAAATATATCCAAATCAGGCATCAGCAATTGGACGTTTACTACGGGCCAAATATACATTTTTGTGTATATAAACAGAAATAATCAACCGATTTCTTTGAAATTTAATATTTAAATTCTTCGTATTGAAACAATGAACATATAAAAATTTTTTAAAGATCAGGCATCGGCAACTAGACGTTTACTACGGGCCAAACACACAATTTTGTGTATATTATAATAATCAAACGATTTCATTGAAATTTAATATTTGAATTCCTCGTTGTTTTAATACGAAACAATGAACACGTAAATTTTTTGGAAAGATCAGGGCTCGAAAACTGATCTGCGGGCCGATTTTACATTTTTCACCATATCTACGGAGCGAATTGATGGAATGTCTTGAAATTTGATATTTGAGTTCTGGTTGTTACCGAAACTAACTGGCGAGCATTTCAGGGAATTCGGGTAGCACAAAGCGAAACTCTACTAAGAGCCGAATTTACATTTTTCTAGGTATGTTAACTATAAGCTTACTAATGTCCTAAAAATTGGAAAAAAGTATTTAACAGATATTTTTCTAATATTCTGTAACACTTTCATTTAACTAGATAATACACAATACGGTCGGTTATGTGCTGACCACATCAGTCAGATTTTTCTGGGACCCTGGAGGCAAAACCCTATCTAATGCCTTTTGTCCCATGTCTATAGCCCTTCTAGAATTACCCGTACTTTTTGCCACCTGTGAAGTAGCTATATATGTATAAAGTAAAATATGATGGTTTTTGATAAGTTATACGAAATATGAATAAAATATAGAATTATAAAGGAAAATTCAAGGTACTGCGAAGCATGGTGGGTAGCGTGGTAGTCTCATAACCAGAAGGTAGATCGATGCTTGCCTGGATATTATCGTATTTATGTTTTTTTGGATTATTTTAAAATTTTTTTTTTCTATTTTGTTTAAATTTTTTGTTTTATTACCGACCGTATTGTGTAAACAATAGGTACACGGACGAAGGTAACGCGGCTACTTGGCTCTTTAAATTAATTATTTGACCAGTTTTAAGGTTTAAAACAGGTATAAATTTATTGTTAATTAATTTATAATTACCGCATTGTGTATTGTCTAGTTAAATGAAAGTGTTACAAAATATTATAAAAATGTCTGTTAAATACTTCTTTCCAATTTTTAGGACATTAGTAAGCTTATAGTTAACATACTTAGAAAAATGTAAATTTGGCTCTTAGTAGAGTTTCGCTTTGTGCTACCCGAATTCCCTGAAATGCTCGCCAGTTAGTTTCGAAAACAGCAAGAACTCAAATATCAAATTTCAAGAAATTCCATCAATTTGTTCCGTGAATATGGTGAAAAATGTAAAATCGGCCCGCAAATCATTTTTCGAGCCCTGATCTTTCCAAAAAAGCTATATGTTCATTGCTTTAATATGAGGAATTCATAAATTAAATTTCAATGAAATCGGTTGATTATTTCTCTTTATATACACAAAAGTGTATGTTTGGCCCGTAGTAAACGTCTAGTTGCCGATGCCTGATCTATCCAAAAAATTTACATGTTCATTGTTTTAATACGGGGAATTCATATATTAAATTTCAATGATATCGGTTGATTATTTCTCTTTATATACACAAAAATGTATATTTGGCCCATAGTAAACGCCCAGTTGCTGATGCCTGATTTCTTCCAAAAGTTAGGAATTTTTGCGTATGATCGAGCAAAGCTTATATATGAAATTTCAAGTAAATCGGTTGAATACTTTCTTCAAAATGGTGAAAAATGTAAAATCGGCCCGCAAATCCGTTTTCGAATCCTGATCTTTCCAAAAAATTTATATGTTCATTCTTTTAATACGAGGAGTTCATATATTAAATTTCAATGAAATCGGTTGATTATTTCTCTTTATATACACAAAAATGTTTATTTGGCCCGTAGTAAACGTCTAGTTGCCGATGCCTGATTTCTTCCAAAACATACGAATTTTTGCGGACGGTCGGGCTGAGCTTATATATAAAATTTCAAGTAAATCGGTTGAATATTTTCTTCAAAATGTTCAAAAATGTAAAACAGGCCCGCTAAAAAGTGCAGTTCCCGAGGCCTGATATACACCAAAAGTTGATCGATCCGTGCCATGGTGAAAAAAAACTTACATATAAAATTTCATCAAAATCGGTTCAGCCGAACTTGAGATACACGCGTGCACACCGACAGACCGACAGACCGACAGGTTGCTAAAAATAGTTTATTTACACTTCCCTACTATGGAGTATTACGTTCCCACCGAAAACTCGATATGCAAAATTTGTTGCCATCACATAACCTACCTATTGTTTACACAACACGGCCGGTAAAAAAGAAAAACAATAATATCCCGATTAAATTTAAATTAAATTTAAATTAAAAATTAATTTGAATAATTTAATATTACCAATATTAAATAACTAAAAAGTAAATAAATAAAGAAAGAAAAAAAAACTTTCTTGTCAACATTAAAAACTGAAATTAGTACAATAAAACTTTAACAAAAAATTTAATCATTAAAATATTATAATATAACCACAAACTATAAATAATTTTGCTATAATAAATAAAAATCAATAGAGTATGTTTTATTTGCTGTGAAAAAAAAAATATTTGTGAAACAAAAAGGAAAACCACAATGGCACAAGCAAATACATCAGCCGGTCAATCCTCATCAGCTGCTCAATCTGCTGTACAACCCCCAGCACTGTCGCTTTTCCTGGACCCGATGAAATACATTTCAGAACTTCCGGAGTTTAGTGGCAAGTCGCACGAATTATTTAATTTTATAGGTTTAGTTGAAAATATAATCCCCATAGTTAGTAAATATGACGAAAATAGTCAAATAATACTTTTAAATAAAATTAAATCTAAGCTAATAGGTAAAGCGAAGGAAACAGTGGAAATAAATAACCACGTTTCATTCAGGTCTAAAATAAAAACAATTTTAATCAATGTTGACCTGTTAAAGTACACCTATTGACTTATAAAACCAGATTAAGCACATTTTACGCCGGTTGAATAATAAAGTAAAGGACCTACCTAATGCACCTACCATAATTCAAACCAATATTCTAACGGGCTTACGAATTTTCAAAGAAAAACTTGTGGAACCAATGCGTTCTATAATATTTAGCCGTAATCCTAGTTCTTTGGAGGAGGCAATAGACACATTATATGAGGGGAGTTATGCTGAATATAATCCCTTTAGGAATTCCCATAATTTTAATAAAACTAATACTAATTCCTCTAATTAAAATAAGAAAAATTTTAATAATTTTAATAGTTATAGAAATAATAATACCAATACTTACACACGTAATAATAGCAATACTACTGGTAATAATAACAGCAATATTACCGGTTATAATAATAAATTTATGCGTATGCATCGCAGTAGTAATATGAGAAATTTTAACCGTAGTAATTATTATACTAACAACATTAATCGTAATAGTAATTATAGTGGTAATAATTATAATCGTGGCAACAACTATTCTGAATTCAGGCATCATCGTGGTCTGAACAGTCAAAATTACTCACCTGCTAATTTTCAAAATTCTCGATCTGAGCCCATAAATGTTGATCCGTCTACCTCAAATCATAGAATAAACACCATAGAAAAAAAAATCGCTGGAACACATTTTCAAGACTCAAACGAGCCAATAAATCCAGTTGAAAATTTTCAGTTGACTGCCTCGGGGGAGAACTTCCTTATATAAAATTGCAATCCAAAGGAAGGCCACCAAAATTTATTGTGGATTCTGGTGCTACAATGAGCATCACTAATACTGGAATTTGTAAACTTTATGTAATACTTTTATATGCGATACTAAAGTAGCAATAGATGCTTTCATTGAGTTTGATTCTGAGAGTAAACCTAATTTTCTTGAAAAAAATTTTCACGATAAATTTGATGGTTTATTAGGCAATAATATCCTAAAACCGTTAGGGGCCATAATTAATTACACAAACAATAGTTTAGAATTGAATACAGGTAATGTACTTCCTCTGTATTTCAATCAAAATGAATTAAAACTAATGTCAGATGTGATTATTTGGATCCTATTACAAAAAAAGAACTTTTAACAATTTTAAGAAAGTTCGATGAGGCCTTTTATCATGAGGGCGATAATTTATCTTTCACTCATCACATTAATCATAAAATCAATACGGTAAGTGAAATTCCCATCTATACTAAAACTTATAGGTACCCTGAAATTCATAGAAAAGAAGTAAATGAACAAATTGAAGAAATGCTAAATCAAGGCATAATAAAACATAGTGCGTCCACCTTATTCGACTCCTTTGTGGGTTGTCCCAAAAAAGATCGATGCATCCGGGAAACAAAATCCTAGTGACATTATTATCTTTAGTACAAGTTTGGAAGAACATCTACTCGTTTTGCAAAAAATTTTAAAAAAACTTTTAGAAGCTAATCTTAAAATACAGCTCGATAAAAGTGCATTTTTCAAACAAGAGACTGAGTTTCTTGATCATATTATTGCTACTAATGGTATCAAACCAAATCCAAATAAAATTTATGCAATTAATATGTTTCCAATACCCAGAATTCCAAAACAAATTAAGAGCTTTTTAGGTTTAGTTGGGTATTATAGAAAATTCAATACATTAAAATTCATTACACTATGTTTAAAGAAAGGAAAACGCATTGACTTCAATAATTACGATTATAAAGAAAGCATTTAGCAAGTTAAAGTTCCTAATTACAACTGATTCTGTCCTCATTTACCCTGATTTTTCCAAAACATTCGTCTTAACAGATGCCAGTGACTTCGCTATAGGTGCTGTATTATCTCAGGATAATCACCCTGTATGTTATTCTTCGCGCACATTAAATGAGCACGAATAATACTCTACAATTGAAAAAGAATTGTTGGCGGGCAACGAAATACTTCCGCCCATATCTCTTTGGTCGTAAATTTACCATAAGGACAGATCATAAACCACTTCAGTGGCTTCATAATTTAAAAGAACAAAACTCGAAGCTACAAAGATGGAAAATTAAATTGGAAGAATTTAATTTTGATATCGAATATCTGAGTGGTAAAGAAAACAAAGTGGCGCACTTTCACGTGCAAAAATTCTTTTAAATGAAAGTACACTACACAATTCCAATTCAAAAGATAATGACTCTCCTATTTCAAGCGACAATGAAATACGATCAACTGATGTCACTACACATTCTGCTGATGAAGATAATTCTGAATACATCCTAATTTCATTTTCCCCACTAAACTTTTTTAAAACACAAATTATTATTAATACCGGTAACTCTAATTCGTCGCACATAAAAAAAGTTAATGGTAGAACAAGAAAAACAATTGTTTTTACAAATCCGGAAGAAAACCTTTTTGTGGACGTGTTTAAAAAACACATTCCAACTAAAGGAATCGTGGGAGTAATGATCGACGATATTGTAGTTTATAATGCTCTTCAAAACACTTATTTAAAGTATTTTTCAAAAAATAAAAATTTAAAATTAAACAAATGTTCGTCACTATCAAAAGATGTGTCAAATAGAAGTGAACTACATGAAAGAATAATGAACCAACACATTAAAACAAACCATAGAGGTATTAATGATGTATATTTAAATCTTGAAAGTGAAATTTATTATCCTAAACTAAAAATCGAAATACAAAAAATAATTAATAACTGTCATATTTGTAATATCGTGAAATATGAACGACATCCGTTAAAACTACCTTTTAAAATTACTGAAACAACTGAAAGACCTCTACAAATTGTAAACATGGATATTTGGTTCCATAAAAAATGTATCCATATCTGACAAATTTACAAAACATGCGCAAGTAATCCCCTTAAGCTCACGAAATTAGAATGATTTAAAAACTGCTTTAATTCAGTATATCTCCTCTTGTGGTAAACCAGAAAAAATTGTTACTGATAGAGAAAAAGGTTTTACCAGTTTAAATTTTAAAAACTTTTTAGATAATGAGGGTATACGAATTCATTTTACTACTCCAAACAATAAATGTAGTAATGCCGACATCGAACGTTTTCATAACACCTTAAACGAACACCTAAGGTTTCTTAAAATTATAGAAAAAGAACAGGGTATTCCCAACGATGTCGACCCAATAATTCAAATAGTTAAAACTTATAATGAAACTATTCATTCATCTACAGGAAAAAGACCTATAGATTTTGTTAATGGTTTAATAAAACCAGAGGATTTTTCTTTAATATCAAGAAAAATTAATAAAGCAAAAGAAAAAGTCATTAACAAATTAAACCTCAAAAGAAAATTAGAGCAACCCTCGGACTACTTAAAATTAATTATAGTTACAAAACTTCAACCATATCACAAAAAAGTTGATATTGTTGAATCCGACGAAACTCATGTTAAAATTAGTAAAGAAACCTTGCCCAGGTATAAAAGCCAATTTAAAAAGAGATTTAAATATCAAAAGTAATTACCTTTTCAGTCTAATAACTGTAATTTTTTTCAGGAATAATTAAAATCTTTATACTTTTTATATTAATAACGCATGCTCTTGCTCAGTCCTCAATATATCTCAACGAAGTATCTAAAAGCAATGGCTACATATTACTTCATAATACAGAAATTAAAATAATACATAAATATAAAAGAATATTGCACATAATTGATCTCTCAAAATATGAAGAAACTATCACTAAATTAGAAACTAACATAATTAAACTGCATGAAAATACTAACACTTTTAACCTCTTAAATCATAAATTAACAAAACTAAAATCAGAGTTTAACAGCATTGTCCCCCATTATATAAGTAAACGACGCTTAATTAATATAGCTGTCAATGCATTAAAATTTCTAACTGGCACTATGGATAACGAAGATAGGTCGGAAATAGAAAATCATCTCGCGGTAATAGAAAAAAACAACGAAAAAATAATTGACAATCTCAATGATCAGGTAACAATTAATAAACAAATTTCAGAGCAGATTGAAAAAGTAACATCTCATATTAATGTAGCACAAGAAAATAAAACCAATGTAATAAATAAATTTCAGAATAATATTCACCAAATAAATGAAGAAATTAATCTATTTAATGTAAAATTTGAAATAAACGAAAATATTAATTTGCTACAAAACCAAATATCTAATATAAAAGACATAATTCTATGTAGTAAATTAGAAATATTGTCAAGAAATATCCTAACAGATGAGGAAATAGCAAAATATAATATAACCGTTGAAATGTTTCCGTACATAAAAAATTGTGTTTTATTTAATAAAAATACTACTGTTTTTGTAATATCTATACCAATTTTTACTAAAGAAAAATGTTTTAAAACTATTTTAAAAAGGTTTTAAAACTGATACCGAATAAAGATCGATTTTCATAACTTGATACTAATGTTAATAAAATTATAACTTGTAATGAAAACATTTGTAAGTATGTAGATAAAAAATGTATTTTAAAAAGGGATTTCATATCTTTTGATGATAATTGTATATCTAATTTATTAAGCAATGACAACATGCAATGCAATTTTCATAAGAACCTCTCAACAGAAATAAAACCATTATCAGATTCTGTTGTTATAACAAAAAATTTAAATGAAACTCTACTGTTTAATAATTGTGGAAAAAATCCACATCCAATTAAAATTAAAAGCAACAACATAATCAAATTTTCTAACTGTAAAATTTTAATAAATAAATTTCGTCAAGAAAATTTTGAAGACGAATACAGTGAAATAGTACACCTTTTTGAACGCAATATAAGTGTTTTAAATGTCGTTGATAAAATTCATTTAACAGATTTGTATTACAACCATTATATATCTATAGCTACTTCTCAGGTACCAAAAAGTACAGGTACTTCTGGAAGAGCTAGAGACATGGGACAAAAGGCATTGGATAGCGTTTTGCCTCCAGAGTCCAAGAAAAATTTGACATTGGAACTTTTTAGCCCCGGATTAACTCTATTTTAAGATTTTCTGAAAAATTTTTTGTATAACAAAAGCACCTTTTTCTTTTATACTATATATTACTAGAAACGCAAACCAACAAATGAAATAATACTTTTTATTATTAGAAACACAGACCGTGTTTAAATAATAAACTAAATGCTCATATTGCATTTAGATTAGCCGGAGGTGGTCCCGTTAATAGTTGTGATATAGATGCGTTTGTAAGAGCAACAATACCATCAGAAAAGGAAGCCGGTGGTCGTTTGAGAGAATTGGTACGACAACACATGGTACACGATCCATGTGGCATCGACTATTTGAGATGCCCATGCATGGATAAAGAAAAGAAAATTTGTATCAAAAACTATCCAAAAAAACTTAACGACGTAACACACATTGATGACAAAGGAATGACCAATTATAAAAGACCAAATTCAGGAGATTTATTACATTATCCAATGGAAAACCGGTTAATATTCAATGGATTGCCCCAAACTGTCCCTCTGTACTACTCCTAACGAAATGTCACTGTAATTTGGAAATTGCCACAACAACTAAAGTTATCAAATATCTTTATAAATATTTGCACAAGGGACCTGATCATGCGTTAGCCTCTGTAATAGAAAACATGAACTCAGAAGATGAAACTGAAAATTATGTAAATTATAGATATATATCTTCATCTGAGGCTTTGTGGCGCATTTTTGAA